TCTTTGAGGAGAAGAAGCTTTTGGTGACGGAACGACTGATGGAGTCGGTAAAAGTCATCGTCGATGGACTTTTTGAGGAGATGGTTGGGCAGGTCAAGGAGATGCTGCTGCCGCCAAAAGAAGGTGCAAGTAATGATCAGGTGAAACCTTCCGGCGTTGCCACTTCTACTCCAGTCAAACCGCCGACCACCAAGTCACCACCACCTTCCCAGCCACCGAAAAGCAAGATGATCTTTGCAACCAAGCCCAAGCCTGGTCCCTCTACTTCAGCTGCTGCCCCCCAACCGTTTTCTGGCCTCTACAAACGAATGGCCGAAGAGGATGGCGTTAACACCAGCAGCAAAAACCGTCAGCCAAACAAGAAGAAAGCGGTCACTGAGGGTGACGTGGCCTTCAGCACTTCTGATGAGGTGCTGGTGATCATTCCAATAGAGCAAGCTCTAATGGAAAATGGAATGGATTCAAGCACCTTCGGTGCTGGTGGCGGTGGCGGTGACGCTGAACTGATAAACAACATTGACATTGCCAACATTCACCTTCCAAACACTTCCAAAGAGCAGCAGCAGCCAGCAAAATCGGGAAAGCATCCCTGCACTGAGCCGAACTGTGGCAAGCACTTCTTAAGCAACGCTGGTCTCAAGCGTCACCTTCGAACGCACAGCAAGGTAAAACCATTCGGGTGCACCTATTCTGGCTGCTCGCTGGAGTTCGGTCAGCGCGAAAACGCCCTCCGCCACATTCGCAATATACACCTGAAGAAGAAGGAGAAACCTGGGGAAGATGCTGAGGGGGAGGATCCAAATGATGATGAACCGGCCGATCCAGCCGCCTATCTCAGCGTGAAAGAGGAGCTCCTCTAAGATTGGTCACCCCCTCCCTGCTGACGTGGCCATTACACATGGTCATAATATAAAACTTTTTTACTGTACAAGATCACTATTAGCTTACTATGAGCACTTACCATTTTCACTTTCTACTTTGACTGTCATTGTAACAAAATTAAATTCTCACTTGTTTCATTCAGTACTTCTTGTCACTTCTTATCACTATGTTTTCCCTTGGCAGCCATTTGTCACTGAGCAATCCTTCAATGGTGCACTCGCTGGTGGACTCCTTCTTTGAGGGAAAGAAGGCCCTGGTAAAAGAGCGACTGATGGACTCGGTGAGAGTTATCGTCGATGGACTTTTTGAGGAGATGGTTGGACAGGTCAAGAAGATGCTGCTGCCGCCCAAAACTGGCAATGATCAGGTGAAAACAAATGCCGCCAGCACCCCAACTCCAGTCAAACCGCCGACTACCAAGTCACCAATGAAAACTCAAACTGTGCCATCTTCACAGCCACAGAAAAGCAAGATGATCTTTGCAGCCAAGTCCAAGCCTGGTCCATTTTCTTCAGCTGCTGCTTCTCAACCGTTTTCTGGGCTTTACAAGCGAATGGCCGAAGAGGATGGAGTGGGCGTCACCAGCAACAGCAACAGTCAGCCAAACAAGAAGAAAGCGGTCACTGTGGAACTGCAGATTGATGGTCCACTTGGTGACGAGGATGACTATGGTGACGTGGCCATCGGTGCTAGTGCTGGTGGTGGCGGTGACGTTGAACAGCTGGATAAGGACACTTTCATTCAAAATTGAAGATTGAGCTAGTGAAAGATTGGGCCAGCAACTTACTCCCCTTAATAGTGGCTTTCATTCAGTGAGGCCTTATGTATATAAACCTGTATTAAGGGGAGTATGTTGCTCGCCCAATCTTCAACTAGCTCAATCTTCAATTTTTGTCTCATTGCAAGGTTTTCTTATATTTCAAACAACATTGAAACCAAAGTTGAAGATTGAGCTAGTTGAAGATTGGGCCAGCAACTTACTCCCCTTAATACAGGTTTAGATACATAAGGCCTCACTGAATGAAAGCCACTATTAAGGGGAGTAAGTTACTCTCCAAATCTTCAACTAGCTCAATCGTCAACTTTGGTTTAGGTGTTGTTTGAAATATAGGAAACCTTGCAATGAGACAAAAGTTGAAGATTGAGCTAGTTGAAGATTGGGCCAGCAACTTACTCCCCTTAATACAGGTTTATATACATAAGGCCTCACTGAATGAAAGCCACTATTAAGGGGAGTATGTTACTCTCCAAATCTTCAACTAGCTCAATCGTCAACTTTGGTTTAGGTGTTGTTTGAAATATAGGAAACCTTGCAATGAGACAAAAGTTGAAGATTGAGCTAGTTGAAGATTGGGCCAGCAACTTACTCCCCTTAATACAGGTTTAGATACATAAGGCCTCACTGAATGAAAGCCACTATTAAGGGGAGTAAGTTACTCTCCAAATCTTCCACTAGCTCAATCGTCAACTTTGGTTTCATTGCTAGGTTTTCTTATATTTCAAACAACACTGAAACCAAAGTTGAAGATTGAACTTCTGCTGCTTCCGCTTCAACTTCTGCTTCATCTTCTGCTCAGCTTCCTCTTCTGCCCTCACTTTCTCAACAACAACAACTTTTCTTTTTCTCCTTCTTTCCTTCCTTCATTCACATTCAGTGGCACTTTTAGTTGACTGAAGCAGCAGCAGCAGTCAACTAAAAGTGCCTAGTCAGCAGAAGAAGTCTGCTG